AAATGGTAGAGGGTCTCCTGCTTGAGCGGGGGGTTGGATTAGAAGACTCCAAGGTCCCTTCCAGCTCTATTCTGATTGATTGGATTGAACTGAATTTCAGTGGAGATTTTTAAGAAGAAATTGGACAGTCACCTGTCTGAAATGGTATAGCGCAGGGGTGGCTCTTTTATGACTTGTGGACTTCAACTCCCAGAATTCCTGAGCCCTGGTATAGGGCCTGAGCGGGGGGGGGGGGGNCGTGCTCAGCTGTCCCGGTCTCTTCTCCTGTTTGCCGTGTTTTTTAGTTGGCAAGCACACTGCACAATTTTAGATTATAAGTTCCCTGGATTCTGTACGGAAGTCATTGTTTCATGATTACCTTTGCCATGAAGCACTTTTACACCTGAAATTGATTGATTTCTCTACAAAATATAGAACCCACAAACGAACAATTACCGTTATGTGGGAACCTATCATATATAGCCACGTTGAACAAGCCATCCTGTACTTTTCAGAGCCGTTTGGAAGCAGATCTGTTCCTCCGCTCGCAAAAAAGAGAGAACGTGACGGTGCTTTTTTAGCATGTGTAAAAGTTATTCATCTTCAAGGTTTATAAGAAACTCATCCGTTAATAAAGTTTATGTTGGCATCAATACGGTCCAAACCATAAAAGAGAGTTAAACCCTACAACTTACACTAGAAGTATATACGGGAAAATGTATGTTGCTTATCAAAACAACTGAGAATTTAATTTAGTTCATGATGTGTTGTCCAATCATAAGGGATTCTCACCCCATAGGACAGTGGTGACGTACCTATGGCACGCGTGCCAGAGGCGGCACTCGGAGCCCTCTCTGTGGGCACGCGCGTCTCGCTCTTTGGCTAAGTTTTCGCAGGAAAAAGCCATTTCCCAAGCCCCTTCCTAGCCAAAACAAACCTCCGGAGCAACAAACCTTGAATTATATCAAATCTGACACCAGAAACAGACTAACAGATGACCTGAGTGCTGCATGTGTTGCTCTCAAACTTACAAGGTATAAGCCAAGGTTAGACAAATTATCAGGATGCATACAACAGCAAAAATCACATTAATTGTTCAAAAGCATGCCAAATGCAAACTTTTACCTTTCAGTAAAAAGTTGTATCATTGAAAGCTCTGTTATTGTGTTTTTCTCTTAAGACAAAAGACGTTAATGTATGAATTGTTTTTTCTAAACTAAAACCTGAGTATTCAGATTAAATTGCCGTGTTGGCACTTTACGATAAATAAGTGGGTTTTGGCTTGCAGTTTGGGCACTCGGTCTCTAAAAGGTTCTCCATCACTGCCATAGGACCTTCAAATTTCTAACATTTTCAAATACATATTATACTCAGTCCATCCAAAACATCAACAATGCAGCAATACCTACCGCTGTATATAAACTTGTAAAAGGAACAGCTGGATAAAGAAAACTATCGTATACTTTATTGTACACTGTAATACAGCAGCCTGTAAGAAGATATACAACTCTTCCTGATCAAGATAAGATAGGAGGGAATTTTAATCAGTAGTACACAGATGTCATGTAGCTGGGACACGAAATGCAACAAAATCAACAGCCCTACAGGCAAAAGTTTTCAATGCTTATTCAAATGATCTTAAAACTGCCAAAAACTGAGTTTCCATCGATACTAATTAAGAACATACCAGATAATTTAAGCGATCTGAACCCTCTCTAGTAAATCAACTAACTCACCAACAGAATATTTCTACACGGTCGTGTCACGGTTCAAATGGCTTCTCCTATTATCAATTTCAAAGCCAACATTGTCAAGTTTATATTTTACACTGGTAACATGACTTCTGGGTCAGGCTGTGCACAATTAATTTGTGCTGTTTCACTAGCAATTCAGTGAGTTTTTTTCAGAACAGACTGAAATTAACTCTCACTGGCCAAAGATGTTATGCCCATTTTTATACGGCCTCTGCTCAGCGGAATGGAATGCTCACAATTAATCACCTAACCGCCATGTAGATGACAGTTGATAACATATTATTATTCCTGACATTTATTAATGGAAATGGGGAAAGGCTTTATTTCATTTACTGATATTAGGAATAGGCCAACTGACGATAGAAATTCTCTGAATATAATTTTTTTTAAAAATGTGTTGCAATAAGAACAGCAGCAAATGGAAAATGACTAGTCTACTGATAACTACCAAAAAAAAACAACCCAACAAATATATTACTGTATGTTCTTGTATAATGCTTCGATTTTTAAGATAGTGTAGATTCTTGACTGTTTTTGCTGTAACGTGAGTCACAGGCCTATCCCACTGGAAACTATTAAAAGTCAATGAACAGAAAACAAAAGAAATACAACTAAACTCACGACGACTGAAAACAAAAGGACTCCACGCACTAAACAATGTTAAAACTCTAACAGCGTTTAAACGTGTGTGTGTATGTTTTCTGGTGCCAGACATTAAAAGAAGCACTAGGAAGCTAGCTTTCTTAACTTATTCATAAGCTTTCCAAAGACTAGCATTGAAAGATTTCTCTCTCACACAGTAATTTGCCATCCCATACTGTGTGGGTGTTACCTGAAATTGTAAGCATGATAGTCTAGAGATCTCTTTTCTAACTTTAGGAAAGCATGTTTTTCTTCTGAACCAAGGCTATTCCTTTTGCTATGCGAGAACTCGTTTGTCCAGCAATTAAACAATAGAATGTGCATTCTGAATGTCCTTCAAAAAGTCTGGAAGATACAAACCCAGCTGGGGAAGAGAGTAACGTAACCCACAAATTTGCCACTTGTGAATGTTGTCTGGAATCAGTGTTCAGTATTGTTTAAATCTCCCATGTAACCCATGTCTTATTGATCTGTTGCTTTCCGGCATATCACAGATACCAAATGTGTCGTTTCTTTCTGTACTCTATAAAAATAATTCAGCCTCTCTAAATAAATATTCTTTTTTTTGGGGGCTTTGCCTGAATTACTTGGCGATTTGTATTTACGAGTGGGCAAAAAAAGCCAAGGTAAAAAATGTTTCCTCTCTGAGAGACGTAGATCTTCAGCAACATAAATGCCCTAGCAGAAGGCTGTCAGAGCATGCAACTTGTTGCCTACCAGATGTGTTTGAACTACAATTTTAAAGCACATAAAGGAAAGGCTGCTGGAATTGAGTATGACTAGTTTAACGAAGAGAAGGGCGAGGGGGGACAGGATAGCTGTCTTCCAGTATCTCAGGGGCTGCCCCAAAGCAGAGGGAGTCAAGCTATTCTCCAAAGCACCTGAAGGCAGGACAAGAAACAATGGATGGGAACTAATCAAGGAGAGAAGCAACCTGGAATTAAGGAGAAACTTCCTAACAGTGCGAACAATTAAACCAGAGGAACAGCTTGCCACCAGAAGTTGCAGGCGCTCCATCACTGGAGATTTTAAAGATGAAATTGGACAGTCACTTGTCTGAAATGGTAGAGGGTCTCCTGCTTGAGCGGGGGGTTGGATTAGAAGACTCCAAGGTCCCGTCCAGCTCTATTCTGATTGATTGGATTGAACTGAATTTCAGTGGAGATTTTTAAGAAGAAATTGAACAGTCACCTGTCTGAAATGGTATAGCGCAGGGGTGGCTCTTTTATGACTTGTGGACTTCAACTCCCAGAATTCCTCAGCCCTGGTATAGGGCTTGAGCGGGGGGGGGGGTTGTTGTCTAGAAGACCTCCAAGGTCCCTTCCAGCCCTATTCTGATTGACTGAATTTCAGTGGAGATTTTTAAGAAGAGACTTGACAGCCACTTGTCTGAAACGGTATAGGGTCTCCTGCTTGAGCGGGGGGCTGGACTAGAAGACCTCCACGGTCCCTTCCAGCTGTATTCTGATTGATTGATTGAATTTCAGTGGAGATTTTCAAGAAGAGACTGAACAGCCACTTGTCTGAAATGGTATAGGGTCTCCTGCTTGAGCAGGGGGGCTGGACTAGACGACCTCCAAGGTCCCTTCCAGCTCTATTCTGATTGATTGAATTTCACTGGAAATTTTTAAGAAGAGACTTGACAGCCACTTGTCTGAAATGGTATAGGGTCTCCTGCTTGAGCAGGGGGGCTGGACTAGACGACCTCCAAAGGTACCTTCCAGCTCTATTCTAACTGATTTATTGATTGGATTGAATTTCAGTGGAGATTTTTAAGAAAAGGTTGAACAGCTATTTGTCTGGAATGGTTGAGGGTCTCCTGCTTGAGCGGGGGGGGGGGGGGTTGGACTAGAAGACCTCCAAGGTCCCTTCCAGCTCTATTCTAATTGATTGATTGACTGAATTGAATTTCAGTGGAGATTTTAAAGAAGAAACTGGACAGCCACTTGTCTCGAACGGCATAGGGTCTCCTGCTTGAGCAGGGGGGCTGGACTAGACGACCTCCAAAGGTACCTTCCAGCTCTATTCTAACTGATTGATTGATTGGATTGAAGTTCAGTGGAGATTTTTAAGAAGAAACTGGACAGCCACTTGTCTGGAACGGCATAGGGTCTCCTACTTGAGCGGGGGGCTGGACTAGACGACCTCCAAAGGCCCCTTCCAGCTCTATTCTGATGGATGGATTCCCCAGCCAGCCTGGGGCATTCTGGGAGCTGTAGTCCACGCCTCTTAGAAGTGGCCAGATGGGAGAAACCCTCCAGAGAACGGGGGGAAGGCCTGCCGAAAAGAGGGAGAGACGGGAAGCAAGCCCGTCTCTACGGAGAGCTCCAAGCAACCCGGGGAGGGGAAGGGAAGCCCAGAAGGAGCCGCGTCGCTGAGAGGAGGCCCTCAGCACGGCCACGGGCCACCGAAACAACTCGAACGAGCCGGCTTCGCAAGGAAAAGGCCAGGGCAGAGCCAGGCCGCGGTAGGCCGCGCTCGGCTCCGGGGCTTCCCCGCCTCAGCGCGCTAGGCCGCCGCGCTAGGCCGAGACCCCTCGCCATCCCCCGCTCGAGCGCCGCGGAAGTCGAAGCCGGCGGGGCCGGCCGGCTCGCTCAACGGAGCTCCCCGCATCTCCCCGCTCACCATTGTGGTCCATGGTTCGGCCTCGGGCACTCTGGGACCGGAAGTCGCGCGCGCGCGCGCCGACGCGGTGGGCGTGGCCGGAAGCAGACGCCGCGGCGCGAGAGGGCGCGGGCGAGCGGAGAAAAAGAGAGAGATAAA